AATCTTCCTCTGTGGGAAGTTCCGTTTTCCCACAGAATGTTCCATTTCTGACCCGGCCCGCTTCCCATTCAGAAAATCCCCACCAGCCAAAAGGGAGGAGAGGAGCAGAGGGGGGCACTTCAGCCTTGGATGCCCTGAATTAAGTTGCTGCTCTGCTACAGGCTTCCTGTGCGAGCATGGCCAAATCATTTACCTGCTAGGCAATGGGGAGGAGAGCCTGCCTCGCTTTGCCTCGGATGGATGTTCAAGGAAAAAAATGCTGGTGATTGCGAGGCAAGACAAGCAAAATACCTACGGGTGAGCAGCTACACTGCCAGGGCCTGGTGCTCCACTACAAACCAGGCGTGAAATCATGCAGTGCTTCTGTGAACTAGCCACTCCCGGCAGCGAAGGGCCTTTATTATTTAACATCCGTGCATATGGCCGGGGGGGACAACCTGGCTAATGCACCCCCAAAGGCTCCATCCTCTGCAGAAGTGCAAGTCAAAGAGGGAGGGATCAGTGTCCGGAGGAACCGAGGCTCAGTTGTTGTTTATGGTCTCCCGGATCCAGTCAATGTAGTTACAGATGTTCACATAAACACCTGGCTTATTGGGCAGTGCACATGTCTGGGTCCCCCAAGACACGATACCCTGGAGTACCCCATTGCAGACCAAGGGTCCCCCGGAATCTCCCTAGAAAGAAACAAAACAAGATATCAGAGCAAGAACACACCTTAAACAACATCGATTGACCCTCCAGCCCATGATGCAAGTCCAACCATGTGCAGAGAAAGTTTTGCTGTGTGCACCAAGGCCATGCAGATGTGCACCACCGATAGAAAAACATGCTGCGAGATATGGGCAGTTGTGGGCACTCTGCTAATCAGCTGGGCAGCACCTGGAGCATTCCTGGGCGGGCGCCCAAGTGCTCAGCTTAGTGGGTACAGAGCACGGTGCACCTGGGAAAATGGGGCAGAAACGCTCAGTGACGACAAGTTCACTTTTGCCCATGTTTCCCAGCCAAAATTCCAATGCTGAAATAGTTCAGCCCAAACAGAAATATTTGGGTATATTGGGCTCTGGGAGCACAAGATTTAATTTCCACCCCATCTGCCACTCGTCTAAGCAGACGAGTTGTCAGTGGGGCATTGAGGCAGGGAGAGAAGAGATGTGATTTGCCCAAGGTCCGATCCAGGAGCTTTGCTCCATTCTGCAAGCGTGGAAACTGAGGCACGGCGCAGGGAGAAGCAAGTTGATACTCAGCATGGGAGGAGCACGCATGTTTACGATCTCTGAGATGGGGAAACTGAGGAGCGCAGCAGTCGCTTGCCACAGCAGGTGGGGCCAAGATGTCCAAACCCAGCTTGGGGGAAGGAAACGCAGATGCCCCAGTTCCATCATGGACACTGCCCTGCTGTAACTTGGGGGCCACGCTGCCCAATGAGACTACCCAGGAAACCAAGAAGCGGTGCCAGGCTCCGGCACGGTTTCCACTGTTCCAAGCAGAGCAGATCGTTGTCTTCGCTTCCACAATGGGATTGTTTTTGTGACTGAGGTTACTCTGAGCCATGCCAGCCCTCCCTGTCAAGACACGTTGGCCCATTAGCGACTCAGCGCTTGTGCTGCAACCATCAGATAAGCAAGTCCCACCCGCTATAATTGCTCCCACGTGTTCCTGCTCTTTTCCACCCTGTCCTGAGCACTCCTGGGTTCCTCGCCAGACTTGCCAAACTCTGATGATGTAACCCAGACACCTCGTGGGCGTGGTTCACTGGCCCAGACAGTGGCACGTGGACCACTTACAGTGAGAGATAAGAACAAGGGAGCTCTACAGTCTAAGCCAGTGGTGCACGACCCGTGGGTCACAGTGCCAGGCCGGCCGCCATTTTGTTTTCCCAGCTTGGTGCCCAACGTATGCATTGCGGGGGCAGGGGGTGTGGCAGGGGAGCAGACCGGTGCTTTAAAGAAAAAGGGCTGTAACAAAATATTGGGTGGGGGGAGGGTTGTGAAATTAAAAAGGTTGAACACCACTGATCTAAGCTGTGAGCCAGCTGGCTTTATAGCTCAAACTGTAAAGGCTCCTACACTAAGCTCCAAAGGTCCCAGGTTCAAATGTGCCTGGTGATGGTTACAGTCTGTCTCAAGATATTTAGACTTCCCTTAAACCCCCAGCTCCTGGAGTGTTGATGACCTGGGAAAAAACAGGAAGCAAGATGATCCAGGGACCCTTCTAGCCTGGAACTTTATGACTGTGGGGAAAAGTTTCTACACAAAACTTTCATTCGGTGACGCAGAAACATTTTGTGACTGCCTGGATTTCACCCGCTCTGGTTCAGGCAGCAAGGAAGTGACCTGAAATTTCAGAAACGTGCAAATGTGTCTTCTTGCCCATTTGGAAGCCAAATGTGGCCATCTTCCGGCTCGCTACGATGTCCTCCTCAGCCCGACCCTAGCTACGGAGGGGCGCAAGGGCAATGAAGTGTTCTGATGTTGTCAAAGCGAAATGAGGCCCTCGCCCACGGCAGGTTTTTTTTCTGGCTTTGGATACGCCCAAAGTAACAAAACATTTCAGAGGTGGGCAGACCAGACATAAACCTTTTTTGTGCCAGATTTTCAGGCACCATGAGATCTAAAATAGCTGTTAGTGGCCTGGTCCGGGAGAGAAAAGCTCTGCTATGAGAGTTTAAAAAATAAAATATGTTTCTAACCTGACCAGCACCCCGAACCCTCATTTATGGTCCCACACAGGAGCCTAGAGGAAGCACCAAGACTCTATGCCACCCCCCACCCATGGAACTGTGTGTGCCCCCCCACACACTGATTTTTTCTGTGGCTCAATGGTCCTTCATGGAACTAAGCTCCCACGCCCTGGCGTCCTGTGTGAACAACATACACCTTAAGGCAGCGCTAGGCAAGTGTGCACACCAAATTTGGTTTGAAACAGGAGTAAATGAGTGAAATGTTCCACCTTCGTGGATCTAATTACCCCTCTTAGAGAGCTCAACTCCAAATTGGGCAGAGTTAAGGGTAATCACACAAGGAGGTGGAGCTGTGGATGGTCTAGCATGACCTCCCAGGGGGCTGAAGGCAGGAATCTCTATATATGGCATATGCAGCAGGGCACCCTGGTAGGGCAACATGGTCTGCTCTGGCCTTGAAAGCCATGGTTGGTCTCACTTTCTTGCCACTCGCTCCTCCCTCTCTTGGTCCAATCCCTGCAGCAGCTGCCCCCAAGGCACGAAGACTTCAAGGCACGCCCCCCCCCCACTCCCACCCTCAGTTAAGCTGTTGCCTCACCTGGCATGAGTCTACTCCCCCCTGTGGCAGCCCGGCACAGAACATGTTGTTGGTGAAGTAGCGTGGGTAGATCGAACGACATTGCTCCTGGGAGAAAACGGAGATGTTGCCACAGTAGAGAACAGGTGGGAATCTCACTACAAAAAACAACACCACAACACAGTGGGTATATTGTCAGTGGGAGAAAGTCAGAGGGTTAGATCCAGGGCCGGGGTCACTGCACACGGCCCCAGTGCAGGAGAGTAAGACTCAGAGGAGGGTGTTGAACCTGCAATGCCCGTATTTCCTCTTGGACGCCTCCCTCAATCTCTCCTACTGGGGAGACTTTGTCTAATGAATTAATTATTGGGACTTGAGGGGGGGAGGTTAACGTAGCCCGGCCACTTGGCTATTGGCCAGTCTGTGGTGGCAGCGTTTTCTCGTTTTTCATGGAAAAGTCCCAAGGTCTCTATTTTGTCCCAAAGCAGGATGGGAAAAATCTAAAAACTGTTCATGGGTCTGGAAAATCATTCCCCACCCAGCTCTCCCCAGGCTGTTTTACCCCACTGGGCTTAGAAGTGACCAATCAACAAGCCGTTTCCAGCCGTGACTCCCAATCACTGACGAGCATCTAACCAGCTCACGTCTCTGCCACATCTAGAACCCTCTTACTCACTCATGAACCCTGGTAAACCCTCAAGAAACAGAACTAATACTCCTTGGAAAATAGACGGGGCAGAATTTCCTCTTTTAAAAAAATAATAACAACAGAGCCCCTCCTCCCAGCTTTTTTTTTTTCTTTCTGTATCTGGCCAATATTTTTCCTTTTTCAACTGGAAATGTTTCTGTCTTTCAACACCCCTCAAATCTGCAAAACTCTTCACGTCTTGTCCAAATTCTGGTTTTGTTTTTGGACAGCCACCTCCAATTTCCAACTAACATGGTTTTCAGTTTTCAGGTTTTTTGACGACAAAACAAACTTTCCCCAGGAAGCGTCCCCATGCGGAGACTTTCAGTGGTGCAGCCCTCACCAATTTTACGAATGGGAGGCAGGGGATAAAATGTAGATGGCAAATTTCCCAATGGCTCTACATGCAACCTCAGAAATTACTGGTTTCTAAAAGAAAGCGGGAAAACAAGCATATTCCTGGGAAGAATTTTCAAGGGAGATGGCCGGGAAAGTTGCAGACGTAGATAGTGCTATGTCAAAAAAAAGGAGGAGGAATTTTCAGAGGTGTTCAAAATTCTAGTAATGCCGCTTTTTCTCTTTTTTCCTCCCTCGTGTCTCCCCCCCTCTGTTCTCAAACATTGGCTGAGCTTTGGTACCGTACATTCAGGACTTTTTGTTGTTCCCCATCCGGATACCACGCAGTCCTGCCCTGCTGTGGGGCAACTGGTAGGCAGCGCCAGGGGCTGGACATTTCTGTTGATGTTTGCCGGGGTGAGCAGTTTGATCAGCATGATGTCATTGTCCTTGCTAGCTGAGTTGTACTTGGGGTGGATAAACATTGGCTGAGCTTTGGTACCGTACATTCAGGACTTTTTGTTGTTCCCCATCCGGATACCACGCAGTCCTGCCCTGCTGTGGGGCAACTGGTAGGCAGCGCCAGGGGCTGGACATTTCTGTTGATGTTTGCCGGGGTGAGCAGTTTGATCAGCATGATGTCATTGTCCTTGCTAGCTGAGTTGTACTTGGGGTGGATGATCATTTTGGCTGAGAGCCTCAGCTGCTCTGTGAAATCCAGCTTCCTGATGTTGTGTTCTCCCAGGCGCACAGTGAGGATGCTACAGATAAGACACATGTCCGAAAAGTGAGGGGCGGGGGACCTAGTCCATGGTGGAAACTGGGCACTGGTTAAATAGGAGGGCAAGCTGGGTGGGCAGAACATGAATCTATGGAATCCATGAGTCTGTGGAGCTGAGGACACATGGACAAGGGGGTTTAGTTAAGTGTGCGCTAGCTCAACAGTCAGATATGGGCTGGCTGCAGAAATCAAACACCAGCACAATTCCATGGGCGCCCAAACCCCCATTCCCAAACACACACATAATCATGTGTGCGCTCTTACCCCCACCCATACAGAGTCATAAGTCACACACATCCTCCCCAAACACACACAAATGCACAATTGTACCCTAAAACACACTCACAATCACACCCCCCACAGCAAATGCACTCACAATCACACTCTGACAGCCACTTTCACACACGTGGGCCCCCCCCCAACACAGGCTCAGATCCACAATCACACGCAGGCCTACTCACAACCACACCCTCCTCAAAACACGTGCACGCACAGTCGCCCTCTCACATTCACAATCAGACATGCCCTCCCCAGCCCACTCTCACAATGCACAGCCGCACTCACAGACCTGCTCATAGTCACCCCCATCCTCTCCAACACACACACAACCACGCTCTCACGCTCACTCCGCTACACACGGACCCCCCCTTACACCGCTCTCCCCCTCGTCTGACGCACCCACAAGTCCACACTTACCACCTGATGTTGCAGTGGGCTGCAGTGATCACCCAGTTCTTGTCAATCAGGGTCCCTCCGCAGCTAAGCTGGGAGCCCACAAAGAGAGCGGCCTGCCAGGGCTTGGAGTGAGGCTCACAGGGAGCACCGCCGATGATCCGGGGGTTGAAGCCGCTTACTGTAAGGCAGAGCAGAAAGGGTCACAACTAGGGTGTGGAGGGATCTCTGTGATACCCAGCCCTCTCCCACCCTGTCCCAGCTCAGGATCAGGGCCCCCCAGTGTCTTCAGTGTCTGATTCAAACTCGCCCCAGAGGCAGCCGGCAGAAAGTGGCAGCCTGCAGAAACCTTCACCAAATTGTGCTCCCGCCAGTCTGTGTCCAGCCCGCCCATCACCACAGCATCTGGGACCCTCACCCTCTTGGGCGCAGCGACCTTCACCTCCACCTCGGGAGGGCTGCTGTCCCGTTTGTGCACTAGGGGAAACTGAGGCACGAGGCAGCACCGTGACTTCACCAACATCTGACCCCATCGGTAGTGGGGCAGATTCACAGCCAACTTTCCCACATTGCAGGGCTGGCTGCTAAACACTGGATGGTCCTTCCTGGCCCCCCAATTAAAACCCTCTCAAATGGAGGAGTCTCTTCTTATTGGCTTTGCAAGCGCCAGCTCGCAGTGCAAAACACACACACACAACTATGCACACAGCACAGAGATCAGCATGCATTTGTATAGGGGGAATAATTAATCGTCAGATCCGCTGACCAGGGAAACTCTGCCGCTGACAACTTTTACCCGCCAGACGCACACACTTGTCTCACAGACGTACATTCTACCACACTTGTACACCTCTACAGTCTGCAAAGACGGTGAGGGCTATTCGACAGAGGACACGGATCAATTGTTTTCTCTGTCCACTGAGACTGAGAAGGAAACGGCTACATCTGCAGCAAGGGAGATTGAAGATAAATATTTGGAGAAATTTGCTAACTCTAAGGAGACTTCAGCTCTGAAAGCAGCATCCAAGGGGGATCATGAGATCCCTGTCACTGGAGGTTTTTAAGGACATGTTGGACAATCCCCTGTCATGGTCAATGTTCTCTCTAATTTTTCCATCCCTGTGTGGAATAAATTTTGTTGTCTGCACTGAGGCATGCGTGGATGTGCACCACCAATAGAAAACCACACTGCCAGCCATGGGCAAAGTGACCACTCTGCTAATCAGCCAGGTGGCATTAGAATCTCTCCTAGGTGGCTGCCCAAGTGCTCAGCTTCCAGGGACACTGGATGGGGCTGATCTGGGGTTACTTGGTCCTGTCTGGAGTAGATACCTCTGGAAGTTGCCGCCAGCCCCACGCTGCTGTGATTGATACATGCCCTGCATTAAAAAAACACCCTAGGTCTTCATTGCACAATACTCACAGATAAAGGACTCTCTCGCACACAGAGTCAAGCATGCACGCTCACCCCTGTTTGCAGATAACCACAAGCACACACGTGCACATACTCACCAGGTAACGCACACGCCATGCACACATACTTGCACAGGAATGCACACATACTTGCACAGGAATGCACACAACCGCACACTGGGTGACAAAGCCACGTGCACAGCCACGAACACATACTAATGTGCAGACGCACACACCGAGAGGGCAGGGCACGTCTCCTCCAGCAGGGCGCGACACACATGCATGCACACACACTCACCTGCAGTCACCAGCAGGAGCGCAACGCCCAGCCACTCCATGGCAGAGGGGATGCTGGGAGGTGACGAGAGGTGCTTGTTCCAGGAAGCACCCTTTGCGCCAAGGGGCGGGAGGGAAGGAAAGAGAATTATCACCCAGGAACTGGCCTTAAGACCCGCTCCACTGGAGTCTCCGCCCCCTGAGCCCTGCTCACTGCCCTTACTGGTCTCCGCCCTCCCGGAATCCCAGGCTCCGACTGGCTCCCGCCGGCGTATCTCAGCGCTGACCAAGGGGAGAAGGCTGCGATGCTATAGGCCCTGGCATCCCTGGGGGTTACGGATATGGCAGGGCCCCCACCATGCCCTGGGTGGGAACTGTGTTCCAGCAATGGGCCTGCAGGTAGGCTGGACCCAGAGAGCCACGGCCCAAGAGGAGGCTGGGTTCAGGCCAGGTCGTGAGTTGGTGTATTCCATCCCGAGGCCTGAGGTCACACGTAGCACCAATGGGCTGCATGCTCCCTGAATGGGTGTAAACACCTGTGGAGTCACTCCTGATTTACACCTGTGCATGCAGGGGGACTCAGCCCCATTGACACAAATGGAGTCACTCCTGATTTACACCTGTGCATGCAGGGGGACTCGGCCCCATTGACACAAATGGAGTCACTCCTAATTTACACCTGTATGCGCTGGGGGGAATCGACCCCACTGACATAAATGGTGTCATTCTGGATTTACTCCAGGTGAGTGCAGTGGGAATTAGCCCCATTGATGCAAATGGAGTCACTCTTGATTTACACCTGCTGAGCACGGGGAGATTCAGCCCCATTGACACCAGTGGAGTCACTCCCGATTTACACTGGGTAAGCACAGGGGGGATCAGCCCACTGACGCAAGGGGAGTCACTCCTGATTTACACTGGGTAAGCACAGGGGGATCGGCCCCATTGATGCCAGTGGAGTCACTCTGGCTTAGCCCCGGTGCTCATGCTATTAAGCGAGTGGCACGATTGGGAGAAACCCTTTCCCCTCCTCCCAAACCCACATAAGCAAAACCCTTTGTGTCGAGATGTCATTTTGATCATGGCTCCCACACGCCCCGACAGGCCCGAAAGAGGCCCTGTGCACGAGAAGAAAATCAGGCAGGTGGGCCTGTGGTTTACCTGTAGCTCCGGCGTCGGCAGCCTCGTGCGACGTGTGGACAGAGCCCGGCGCAGCGTAGCTTTATAATGTGACTTCCCGGCCGGCCCCAGGAGATCTGGGCTGTCAAATCTGGCTTCATGTGTGGACAGAGCCCGGCGCGGCGTAGCTTTATAATGTGACTTCCCAGCTGGCCCCAGGAGATCTGGGCTGTCAAATCTGGCTTCAACTCTGGAGATCGCACAACGCAGAGATCTCCAGATAGAACCTCTCCACGCCTCCAGGAGCTTTGCCTAGGGGACTGATTGGCCCAAAGAGCAGGAGCAGGGCGGGTAATTTTGTTCTGCCCTTCCCCACAAATTAATCTTTCTCAGTCCGCCAACAGCCCTGGTGCAAGGCAGCTCCCAAAGAACCAGCTCCAGTCTCAGTTTTCTTTCCCCACCCTTCCCTGGCTTTTATTTCAGTCCTGCCTACGGCAGCAGGAAGTGCTTCAAGGGGCAGGGCGTGTCCGTCTTCATCCTTAATCTTTCCAAGAAGGAAGAAGTCACGTGCTATTCCTTCTCAGGGTTTCCCCATCAATGGGGCCAGGCAGTTTTGCACCAGGGGGAAAAAAATTCGCCACTGATTCATTCAATGTGAGATTAGAGATGAACCTCCCGATTTAGAAAGACCAAACGAAAAGGGGCATGTTTGTGTGACCTTTCGACCCTGGCTTTCATGTAGCCAGAAAACAAAGAAGGCTAAACCCGTGAAAACCAGTGGAAATCAAACAGCTGCCGCAAAATGTTTCCACTGGTCCACCCGGAAGCTGTTTCTGACTGTTTGCGGAAAGGTCGATCTTTCGGCCTGGTGCAGGAGGAAATGTTGCAATCTCACAACTTCTTAAAGGATGGGAGAAACGTTTCCATTCCAACCCTACCTCTGAGTCCTTTCCACTCAGGCCAAGCCAAGCCAACCATGCTCTGCCCTACGGGAGGAAGTCGAGCTAAGACACAGGAGCTGGAGATGAGGTACCTTAGCTCATTTGGCCACAGCGGGAGGTCGACAGAGAAACTCTCCCGCCGCTTTCCCTTAGTCCTCCCAACCCAGCGGAGTACCCAAGTTGATAGGGGTGGGATCAGCAGTCAATTGAGTGAGTCCTTACTAGACCTGCTAAATCAAACTCCAGGAGATCCATCTTCCATTAAGTCATAGAAACCTGACCTTACCGGACTCCTTAGTAAATAATTCCTAGTGGCTCATGAGTGATTTCAGAGCACATTACAAAAGTGTCATTATCCTCCTTGTGCAGCCAGGAAACTGAGGCCCAGAGCAGGGAAAGAACTTGCCAAAAGCCATCCAATTAACTAATGAATAATCTCCATAAGGACGATTTGGATTTGCCATCACTAGCTCAACCAATAAGCTATGCGCTGGATGCCGGAAAGTGCAAGCAAGTACCCCTTCTTCCATCCTTTCACTCGGACCCCACCCTCCACCACTCCTAGGGGGGTTACGCGGTGGCAAGGGCCCCTTGTCCCTGTGGCGTAGAGTGTCTGAGCCCATTGCTCTGAGTGGGGGGAGCTGTTCAGAGTGGAACCGATGCACCGATGCTGCCAGAGCCTGCAGAGAGACTGAATCCATTGCTGAGCTAAGGGAGTGCCCCTGACGTAACCAACTCAGCAGCAGTGCCTCGGTCTGCAGAGAGCCGGGAACAGCTGCTCAGTGAGCAGGGAGCTGTCCTGAGTTTGACCCGATACAGAGCACAACAGCTCCGCTGTGACAGAGCACCGGGAATGTCACCACAAGTGATGCATCTCAGCAGGATGACTCAAACGTGACACAGAACTCCCTGAGGCAGGCTCTCCTAATGACTAGGAGGGGCCGGGTTGCATTAGAGCCCGGTATGGGGAAGCAAAAGTACTCCCACAGCTGCTCTGCATGAATCCCTCATGACAGATTCCTGTCACTGTTATCTGTGCCCCAGGAAGCAAGGGACAGCATGAGATCAGATGCCCACTCCCTCCCGTGAACAATGGATCGAGGAGTACGCAATAGTGTCTGTTCTCGTTCCCCAACCTCATACATCCACACACTCCTCAGCCTTTCCGAACCCAGGAGGGCTGGTTCTACAGCCCGTCTGCTGCAAAACAAGCAAACAGCTGAGCGTTCTAGACAGCAACTGGGTTAAAAACTTCTAAAAGTGAGGGTCCTGATCGGAGCCAGTTGACAGTCTGAAATCCCCGTGTTTTCATTCCAAATCTAAGGAGACCTAGAAAACTTCCCGTGGAACATTAGGGCTTGATTTTCCAGAAATGCTTTTAACGGAAAAGTGTCCGTGGCCAACCTAGACGCGCTTTTCTGCAAAAAAGCCCCCATCGCCATTTTCATGATCGGGGCTTTTTTGCGGAAAACAAATCTCTGCTGTCTACACTGGCCCTTTAGCGCAAAAGTTTTTCGGAAAAAGACTTTTTCCCGAACGGGAGCAGCATAGTATTTCCGCAAAAGCACTGACAATCTTACATGAGATCGTCAGTGCTTTTGCGGAAATTCAAGCGGCCAGTGTAGACAGCTGGCAAGTTTTTCCGGAAAAGCAGCTGCTTTTCTGAAAAAGTTGGCCAGTCTAGACACAGCCTACATGTCAACTGGAATGTTGAGTCTATATACCCAGAACAAGGTTTTCTTCTAATTCCACCCAGAAATGCTGATAATCAGCTCCTTTCTGCCGTGATGAAAACTGAAACGTTCCACCCCGATTCTGACTTCCCCCCCTTCTTTCCCCCTGTCTGATCATTGATAGTTGAGGCTACAAGTCAATTTTGAATTCCATGATTTCACGTGACCTCCATGACTTCATCCCCGCATGGGAGGACTCCAGCTGTGAGCTCCAGGCAGCAGGCCTTTGGCTGCAGCCCCACATGGCTGGGTACCAGCTCTCAGTCCCGGCAGGCAGGGCTCAGGCTTCCGTGGTGTATTTTTTATTGCCCATGGCCTGTCCGTAACTTGTTCTAAAAATACCCATAACAAAGTGTTAGCTGTATTGATGGGCAAATCTAAATTCACCTGGATTTTGAAAGGCAAAGGCACTGGAAAATGAAACAGAAAAGTGTTCCCTTTCAACCCCATCGAATTGCTTTTTTTTTTCTTTCCATTTTTCTTTTCTAAGTGCAAGCGCATTGAAATAGCGGAAATGACATTTTTGGACAGAAAGAACGCAAGGGGAGAGCTGGAAAACTTCCTACTGGCCCTCACTGACAAAGGGACAGATTTAAGTACCAGCTCAGGGAGCCCTCGGCTACCCTTACCCGAAATCTACCAGATGGGGGCTTTCAGGATGTAGCTACCCTTTCCACAATGCACTTCACTGATTTAGGATCCTGCCATCACCATGATCTAAGCACCTAACTACTCTAACCAGTCTGGCTTTAAATCGCTTTGGAGAATAGGACTGAGGCTAATCAGGGAAATGTTCAAGCCGGATCTGGAAAGAGCAGCTCTGTCAAGAAGTAGGGTGATCCTCACCAGAATGTGGGGTCATAGGTAAGAGCGGTGGGTTTGGACTTACCCTTCTATTCCCAGCCCTGCCACTATGTGACTTTGATTGAATCCCTCCATCTCTGTGGGCCTCAGTTTCCCCACCTGTTCAGACCGTAAACTCTTCAGATTAGGGAGTTTTTCTCATTTTGAACAGCCCCTGGTAAAACAGAGCTATGACTGGTGTCACTAACAGCTACCATAATACACCTGCTTGTGCTTCCCTCTTATAGTGTCCCTTTGGTAAATGCATACATTTTGGCTGTGTGTAGACTGGTCAGTTTTTCCGGAAAATCAGCCACTTTTCCGGAAAAACTTGCCAGCTGTCTACACTGGCCACTTGAATTTCCACAAAAGCACTGACTTTCTACTGTAAGAAATCAGTACTTCTTGCGGAAATACTATGCTTCTCCCATTCGGGCAAAAGTCCCTTTTGTTTTGCACAAAAAAGCTGAGATTAGTTTTGCGCAAAAAAGCCCCAATCGTGAAAATGGCGATCGGGGTTTTTTTGCGCAAAAGCGCGTCTAGATTGGCCACGGACGCTTTTCCGCAAAAAGTGCTTTTGTGGAAAAGCGTCCTGCCAATCTAGATGCTCTTTTCCGAAAATGCTTTTAACGGAAAAGTTTTCCGTTAAAAGCATTTCCGGAAAATCCTGCCAGTCTAGATGTAGCCCTGTGAGAACCAAAGAAACCATTTTTCCCATCCAGCCTGCGCTCCTTCATGGCCCAAGCCAGACAACCTCCTCCAGGGATCCCTGCCTCCAGCCCCTATCTGGGGCCTGAGCTAGAGTGACCCTAATGCCACCCCTTTTCAGTGTGCCCTTAACTCTGCCCCTTCATTGATTTCCAGCCCATATCTGGTGGGTGAGCTAGAGCAGAGTTTTAAGAGAGAGATGCCTGATCTCTGGGGAAAGACTCCCCAGGTTTGAAAATCCACCCTGCTCCTGGGAAGTCCTTCCAGGGGCCAATTCCCCTTATTCCCAGTCTGACTTCAGTGCCCAGCTGCTCTGCCTGCTCCGGCTCTACTCCCAAAATCTGATCTTCTGGGAGACACTGATAGACTGAAGCTCCACAGACCCAGCTCCTTCAGTCTGTGCTCTCAGACAGGTCTCCCAGTCTTTGGATCATCCCCATCACTCTTCTCTGAGCCCTCCCTGATTTCCCAATATCCTGTTTGACATGAGGCCACCCCCCAGAGCTGGGCGCAGGCTCCAGTCATGGTCTCTTTCTAGAAAGGACTCCACCTAGAATCCTAGAATCCCAGGGCTGGCAGAGACCTCAGGAGGCATCCACTCCAGCCTCCTGCCCACAGCAGGACCAACCCCAACTAAATTATTCCAGCCAGGGCTCTGTCAAGCCAGGACTTAACGACCTCTTGGCTCCTGCTCACTATCCCGATTTTCCTGCCCAGGGTCACCCACGTCGTGCAGGGAGCTCATGAGCAGTCGGTCCCACCAGGACTCCTGGGTCCTTCCCATGGCTGCTCTCCAGGATGCATCCCTCCCCCCAGCCTGGAAGCGTGAGCTGCCAGAAATAAATACAGAGGAGCAAAAACCACCCTGCTCTTGTTCAGGGAGTCCAGGGCCAGATCCAGGAGTCATGGGGCCCTTGTCGCTCTG